TTATATACATATGTTTATATATATGTATAAATATATATATATATACATAAGTACATATAAAGATATATATATATATAAGTGTCTGTATAAGTGCAAATAAATATATATATATGTCTATGTAAATATACATATATAGAAACAGATTTAAACATAAATATAAAGATAGTTGAATCAAACTAGTGTATTGAAAAATGTGCAAGTTTGAATTCAAATATTTAAAAAAAGCGGGTGGGGGGGGATTGGGGGGAGGGCTGAAGAGGGGCCCTAGCGTCTATTCAAGATCAGCTAAGGCGTCTTCCCAAGACAGCTCACGCGCTTTTTACTCTCGCCGTATTGCCAGTCCGTGCGGTGTCCACAGGGTTACTCTAGATACCTCTTGAGCCTTGAGGGGCGCATATAAATGTGCTCAATACTCATGCATGTACCCGCATAGGTATTAGGTCTAAACAAAAACACAGGCACAAATTCAAAAGCAATGAGTAGAGCACTACGCCTTGTCGTACCCAATTGGTATTAAGAGTATCTTCCTGTTCTCGCTACACAATGGCAAATCGGCAAAAACTGAGCGGAAGTCACGCATTGGATTGAAGAAAACAAATTTGATAAGCGACGGAATGTCCTAAGGACATGTCGAAATGAAAGCAGCGGATTCGCTAATTATTTTTCGGCTGGACCAATGGTGCACTAGGCACGGTCTCTCCAAGCAAAATGCTCCCTCTACCGGTGAAAAGTTCCTACTTCGCAATGCAAGATTCAGAAAATGAGGTCAGATGGAAAACAGTTGACCGAATCACAAAATAAACGGAAATAGCGGATCTCCAAAGTTGCTCATTCAAGCAAACGATGGCCAAATTCGGAGTTGGTATATTGGATTCGCTCCATTCGGAGATGTTCTGCTCAGCGGAAAGGTTACGGAGACAATTGTGATATATACAAGAGTATCTACATTAAATTGAAATTCAGACACAGTAGTGGCATTATCTCCATCTAAAAGAGTATATGCCATCTTGTGAAAAATGAACACTTGCCTTGTATTATCTCTGTCTAAAAGAGTATATACTTTGTGAAAAGAAACTGAATGCACAGAAAAACTGTACAAGCCTCTCATGCTGTGTTATCTTCGTCTAAAGAAGTACACTCGCTTTGGTCTCCATGTTGTGGACGATGAAGCTGAGGATCCACCATAGCCACTGCTGCGCCAGTCGCTCCATGCTTGATCATCATATCCTTTCCTCTTGTTCTGCCTCTGCTTCTCCTTTCTCGCGTCATGACGTCTCATCTTCATCTGACTTGGAATGTACTGACGTTTTCTGACCAGAGCATATCAGAGGGCTTTAAATGAACAACACTAGGATTGTGAGCATCACGATCTGTAGGTGCAACCATGAAGATGTTGTGATCATTGTTCAAGCAAGTTTCATTGACCCTGAAGGAAAACTCACAAACGTAGTTCATGTGATCTTCATCTTCAAAATTGGCTATGTCCTCATCATACTCCAAACGTGCATGTCCCCACTCAACAATAGACATCATACAACAGTCACCTCGATCTGAAGTCTTGTTCATGAGTTCCTCGGTGTATGTTGCTGTTGTAATGTTATCCAGATGTGTTGCTAGAAAATCAAGATCCCGATAACTGCAAGAGATGAAATGTTTCACCCGAACAGGTGGACAAAATCGATGGTTCTTGCGTCGAGCTTGTGTTGCAACATTCATCATCTTGTTGATCCAGTATTGCAATAAGCTATGCTGGTATGTGGGAACCCCTGGTGTCTTTGGTGTGGTGAAATAGCATGCCTTGTTCCCATCGCCTGCGATCACGTCAACTTGATAACGGGCACACTCGAAAGCCATAATGGCCAAACATTCACCAACGATACCAGGTGTATCTGAAGCATACTTCTGTCCAACATAATAAACACACACGCGCGTCATCTTCATCCTTGCTCTTGTCAAATCTTCAATCTTTTGTGTGTCTCGGTGCTTGGTCTTTCCCCAGAAGACTTCGAAGATTGCCCAAGAGACATGCCTGATGCGCGTGTCGTTCTCATTGGTATTATATCCAGCAGTTTGCCTGATATATCCTTCCTTTCCGGTACGAGCAGCAACCATCAAATCATGATAATCGTTGAAGCAAGTGGTAATCTTGGCTTCTTCGAGACGAGCTCTGTGAGGATAAAGCGTACCAGCTTCACAATTCATGAAAAAATGTCCCCCAAAGTTCTTAATGACGTTGATGAAATAGTTGTTGAACTGGGGCTTGTCATCTCCAATAGGCTTGTGATCACCATCGAAATTGTAATCAATGTGTGGCGTGAATCGTTGGAGTCTTTCTGGGACAGGACATTTGTCAAAAGACTTTCGACACCAGTTTCCCAGATTCCAAAACATCACTGAGAACTGTGGTGAGGATCTATAAGGATGTTCTTCATCAATGTATGTTGGGCCTAACATGCCGCCACCTAAGTATCTGGAAGCTAAGCATTGTAACACAACAACATAAGGTAGAACACCATGATCTTCCACATAACATTCAAGGACCTTTGTCAGATTGTTGAAATCATCTTGAATTCTTTTCTCTGCTTCCTTGGATGCATCTTCTGAATGTTCTTGATGTCTTGCATGTAATCTTGGATCACTGCATCCATACTCAATGGTTGCCTTGACTTCTTCTAGGTCCTGAAGTGGAGGTCGATCCTTGTGTCTGGCTATGTACTCTCTCATCAATTGATCATCAGTGTCTGAATACCAGTGATCTAGATGTGGAGCCTGGGTGAATGTTTTTCAGATGGTTATCATGGTGAATGGGCAAGCTTCTACAATCAAGGTTATCCAGCTTCTTCTCAACATCGACATGTTCTGGCATGTCAAGTACACAAAAACCGAGAGCAAAAAGCGTGTTGCCAGTCCGTGCAGTGTCCACAGGGTTACTCTAGATACCTCTTGAGCCTTGACGGGCGCATATAAATGTGCTCAATACTCATGCATGTACCCGCATAGGTATTAGGCCGAAACAAAAACAAGGGCGCAGCGCCTCCCCCCCAAAGCAGATTGGAAACACCTATTTTCACATGCAAGGTGCTGGTTTGAATGTGATACTCAAGGTGTACAGACTACACGAGGAAACATGTGGAATACAGGTTGAGGCACAACGATGCACAATAGTTTCATTGGATGTTATCATCGTGTTGGTTTAAGATATCTTTAAATACGGTTGGTGTAGTGTATATTCTGGCTTGGTTCAGGGTTGGCTTGGGCTTTGAACATCATCTCCATGATAATGCAAACCTTTTTAGATAGATAGATAGATAGATAGAAAGAAAGATAGACAGAGAGATAGATAGAGAGATAGGTAGATGTAGATGTAGATGTAGATGCAGATGCAGATGCAGATGCAGATGTAGATATAGATAGATTTAAATAGATATAGACATAGGTATAGACATAGAAATAGACATAGATATAGACATAGATACAGACATAGATATAGACATAGATTTAGACATAGATTTAGACATAGATTTAGACATAGATAGACATCGATAGATATAGATATAGAATTAGATAGATATAGATATAGATATAGATATAGATATAGATATAGATATAGATATAGATATAGATATAGATATAGATATAGATATATAGATCATAGATCATAGATCATAGATAGAGATGGAGATAGAGATAGAGATAGATGGATGTGTATCTAATGCACAACATGCACCTGGTGAACATGCTTCACTGATAGATTGATCGATAGATGATAGATGAGTCATAGGAGCCAGGAGCCATAGAAGCCACAGAAGCTGCAGAAGCCACAGAAGCCACAGAAGCTGCACAAGAAACAGAAGCCACCAGGACCGTAGAAGCCACAGAAGCCACTAGGAGCCACCAGGAGCCACCAGCAGCCAGGACCCCCAAAAAAAAAATGCGAAAAAAAAAGCCTTCCTTCTTCAAGTAGGCCCGCTTTTTCCTCTCTGTTTTATTTTTGGGTGGGGCGATTCTCGTCGTGAAGCGACTCGAACAAATCAGACAGACAGAAAACTTTGGGTTTCTGGATTAATCATTCACTTGCTTCCATGGCCCAAACAAATCCTGCCCAGGGGCTTGGGTGAAGTACAGTCGCACTTCATGGATGGTCGGTTCCACATTTTGCACACCAGATAAAGATCGCAAGGCAGCCTGATTGAGTCCCGATTTATTCATGCTGGCAAAAAAAATGGAAGACCTTGGAGCAACCCAGCATGATCTCCTCAAATCTTGTGGCTTGTCTTTTGACCATTTCAAACACAATCCATCACAATCCCATGTCCATGGACACTCCAATAGTCTATCAACAAACCTCGCATCACAAGTTGGTCGCCTTTGTGCTGGACAAGAGCTCCAGTGCCGATCCATCATGAAACTGGAGCATGGCAATCCTGCGAAAGTCAAGCTGCAAAGCCACCATGTTTGCTACAACGATTCTGACATGTTTTAGATCCATCTGCACAAAACAATATTGGACCACCTGGTTGAGACTTACGTATGATGATATGCTCCTTGCAAAAATCAGCTAGAAAAGAAAGAATAAGAGCCTTTCCCGCTTCCGGCGTCCTCAAGGCTGGTGGCAGTGCGGACAGCATCACAGCACCAGAGGGACGCAGTGGAACACTGTGCCACGGCTCCAAACGGGGGCCCGGCAGCACGTGCATGTCCTGCTTCTAACTGCTGATTTTGGTCCAAATTCCACTGGGGAAACTCCAACTGCAGCACACTGCTTTGAAAGAGGGGTCAAATACACAGAAACATAATAAAACATCAAATGTTTTTCATATTGGGCTCACCCGTCTCCTCGTACTCAGCGAAGGATTTGTAGTTCCCTCATAGGAAACCACGGTCATTGAAGCAAAGAATGATGTGGTACGTCGAAAGGAGAGATAGACTGAGATAGAGGCTCATTCGCAGATTGTGAAATTTCACTCCGACAAACACATGCGGCACATTACAGGTTGATCCCAAAACAAGTGTCTCTCAGAGTCCAAATTGACGGCCATATCATAGAGGGACACATTCCAGTTCGTACTTGCGAAGAAGTCCTTGGTTCTGGAGTCATCCAGAGCTCACTGCTCCTCGTGTTTGAACTGACTTCAGCAGCCTAAACAGCTCAGACAACTCAGAGCAGATTTTTGCGCTGAGTCCATCAGCCAAAACCCAAACCAACGTTGTCGAATAAGTTCAGGGCTCCCAGCACAAATACAGAGGTCAAATCACCAACTTACCCTCCCTCCTTGTGGCTATGGTTTACCTATAGGTTAGAGCAACCCCGTTGGAAAACATCTCAAAACATGTTGCTTAAAAATAACCGGATGATTCTCCGAGGATCATAGGTATAGTAGGGTGCGTGAAGTAGAACCTCGATGCTCGCAGTCAGGGCACTTGCCACCTGCACCACTATGCATAGGTTCCGGGGACGCATCTGTTTTGTTTCTGCCAAAAAAAAAGCAAACATGAACATTTGAGCACTCAAAGTTGGGTTTGCTGCTATTGTTTCAGCACTACATACAATTATATATATATGCTGGACAGGCTGTATCCTGGACATCGTAACTAAGTCGAACTAATCTATAGTTCTACTTCAAGGAGTTCCTGTACTGAGGGGCAACGATGCTGCGGGGAGCCTACGGGTATGGCACCTGCCTTTCTAAGTTAGTTTCACATCCGTTTTTCACAAACCATACCTATGGCACGCAAGACGCAAGAGAAGATATATATATTATATATATATATATACATAGTTACATACAGGAATGTGTAAGAAGTTTGAAGCTTTTCAAAACAAAACATGCAGGTCTCGAAAAGCATCGCGAAGCTCTTCCCGGGCACCTCTTCCCGCAGTTGGCTGTGGCCATACTGCTGAAAGCCAACCAGAACGGCATATTCCTGGAGCTGACTGAGTAGATGGGTATACACTCCACACTAGCAACCGCCAGTAGACCACTAGCAACAGGTGAGGGTAGTCACTGAATCTTGAGACACTCAAGTTGCAATTGCAGCCACTAGAATCCTACAATCTTAAGACAAAATTTGACCATATGCACGCATCTCATGGATTGAGCGGCTTGCATTGATGGTGTAAGCACTGGTTTCGTGAGAATTTCACGAGGAGATCCTATATATGATCCTATGCTACTTGAGAAGTGCTGGAAAGCGCCACAAGCTTGTGCTATCTGTAAGCATGCACCCGACAAGCCACTATCACTTTGAGAAGGCATTTTGAACCATCCAACATGTGCAGAGGGCATCTTGTAACAATTTACGAGCAGAAGCAACAATCGCATGATGATTAGCGTAATTCGAAACTGTCGGCCCAAGCGTCAAGAGCAATGAATCCATATGGACAATCTTTCTCCTCAATCTCACCACTCTGGCCACGCCTCTTCATGACCTCCGACAAACCTCACAGTGTCTTACACAGTCTGAAAAGAAACCGAATAACCCCACTGAAGTACACAGATATTAAGCCCGAAAACTGTGTAGATCATCAATCATCAGTGCTGGTTCTATAAGGGGGCAATTTGCCTGCCTCTCGCAAGAAAGCATCATGGACATCCAAATGTCGTCAGTGCAATCAACATTGTAAAATTTATAAATGCCAAGGTACTAACGTTAGAGCTCGTCTCTACTCCGAAGAAATCTGCCAGCAACATCACCTTGCAGGAGGAGTAGGCGAGGATTTTTACATTTTTTTTTTGTCGAGCTAAAGAAACATGTCACGTTTCCATGCAGCCGTTTGAACCTTTTCCGAATTCAACAAGGTGCCCTTCTACAGTCTGACCGGGACGACACCTGGAAACTAAGTCCCAAAGCGAAGCGCCTGCCGCAACATCCAGGATCCTGCACCAGCGGAGACCTTCAAAACATAGGGATGCAAAACGGTGCAAGATATCTGATATATGATTGGGATTGATTGGGTGGCAAGAGTAATGAACCAAAAGGCACTGAAAATTGTGTAATCTGATTGCAAGATATCGCAAGGATGGTGCATTGTTTGAAACGGTTTTAACACGACAGAGACTAAATGCATGTTGCAAGAGCAAAATCCGGTGATGATCGGCATGGCTAGTGTGCCAACAGCACCATTGTTTCTGCATTGCAAGGTTAAATTGACTGGTTGTGAGACAAGCAAGGCAGGTTTGGAAACAATTTGCATTGAGCAAGCCACTAGATTGCCCAACGCAAATTGGGCGCTGTCAATTGCACTCCATGCATTGCACTTGGGATCATGTTTTTCCTGTTTCCTGTCAGGTCCGACGACCTCATTTTATCCAGGTCTGATGACCTCATTTCATTTTGGTCTTCTGACCGTATTTTGCCTCTCAAGAAAGGGAGGGACTTCTAACGCCCCATAGGCTACGCACCTTGGAAAAGTGCCTCGTTTGCACTGCCTTGCTTCGCTGTGAACTTCGAGTGTCTCAGCTCAACTGGCTGCCCAGTTTATACTGGTCAGCGGAGCTTTGTTTCAATCCCCACTGCGCACTCCACTTCAACTTGAACATTTCACTGAACCACCACTACCATTGCCAGATCTTCCTGCTCTATTCAACGTTCTTGACTTCCGAGATTAAGCTGTTCTTTTGCACTGTGCTCTCTGACGAGCTCTTTGACCTTGACGAGCTCTTTGAACCTTGCACTGTGCTCCTTGGCGAGATCTTTGTCCTTGCTGAGCCCTTCACTGGTTTTGACCTGCACTGGCAGTATCTCTTCGAGCTTGTGCCATCTGCGCCTTGCCTCTTGAACTATGTCGAGCTCAGGTTCAACCACGCTGGACTCCAACTTCACGAAGGACTCCTTCATTCCGATGTTTGATGGATCTCCCAGCTCTTACCAGGAGTGGAGAAAACGTATCCACATCTACCACCTGAAGATGAAGTTGCAGAAGAGAACTGTGGAGTCCGTGCTCAACATCATCGGATCTTTGCAGGGCACAGCTTGGAAGCTTGTTGAAAGCTTTGATGTGACCAAGATCGATGAGGCTTCATCCTTTGACGCTGTGATTGCATTGCTGGACGGTGCATTTCAGTATGACAATCGAGTCCGTATGCCTCAGGACTTTGACAATTACTTCAACTTGACCCGCAAACCTGGAACCTCGCTCCTCTCCTACTGCACGGAGCACGATGAGAAGTATCGCAAAGTCGCTGAGCATGGAGTCAAACTTCCTGATCAGATACAAGGCTGGCTGCTGCTGAGAAGAGCCAACCTTACAAAGGAACAATACCAATTGGTGTTGTCTCAGGCTCCGAAGCTTGAGAAACTTCGTGTCCAAGAAGCCTTGTTCATCATCCTCGGGCAAGATCATCGATCTGCTGTGAACCGAGATGATCGACGACCTGGTGCTGGCCGCTTCTTCAGAAACAAGGCCTTTGCAGCCCAGGATGATGAGACCTACGATGACACAGATGCCTATGATGATGGCTACTACGAGTACGATGATGGCTATGCAGCTACTGAGTACGAGGCTTTTGATGAAAGGTGGACCGAAGACTACTTTGACTCCAATGCTGCATACTATGAAGGTGAGGGGAACTACAACGCTGACGATGCAGAGACCCTTGCCGAGTTTGACGTTGACACCTATGATGAAGCATATGCTGCATACCTTGATGCAAGACGTCGCTTTCAGGACATCAAACTGTCCAGAGGTTTCCTTCCTGTGGTTGCCTTAGACCAAAGCTCTATGGCCAATGCACCTTCAAGCGGATCACCTTCTCCGACCAGAGGGAAGGGCAAGGGTGGGAAACCAAAGGGCAAGAAAGGGAAAGGCAAGGGTAGCAATGTGGTGCGCTATCCACCTCGTGGTGCTGGCAAAAACCCTGACCCAAAAGGCAGAGCCTCTGCCGTGTTGCATTGCTTGCGCTGTGGATCTGCAGGACACCAAGCAGCTCAATGTCCACGACCAGCTAAGCATGCCACGACTTCCTCCACTGCATCCAGCCCAAAGAAGCAGCACACTGAAGGCATGGCTGCTCAGATGATGCCTGGAGAAACTGGCTTGGTGCTTTTTGAAGACAATGCTGGCCGACCTCGAGTTGACTGCACTATGTTGGATCCTGGCGCCAGTGCCTTTTTGATGGGTTCAGGACCCTTTGAGCGCTACATTGCCCACTTGAAAGACCTTGGCTTCCCCACTGAGACCATTGAGATGCGACGCACTTCCAGAACTTTTCATTTCGGTGGTGACCATTCCACCACGAGCCATTGGGTTGCCAGAGTTCCAATCTTTGTCAACAACAACTTTGGATTTTGCCAGGCCTTCATCATCAAGGGTGAGACACCAATGCTGATGGGAAGACCCATCATCGAAGCCCTTGGCATCATCATCGACTTCAAGAACCAAAGAATGATGTTTGAAGGCTGCCCCTGGCGACCAATAACACTTGGCAGACATGGTGAATACCTCCTTTCTCTGACGGAGGACTTTGAAACTGAACTTGCAGACCAGGTCCCCTACTTTGACCTCAAGCTCAACGAACCGACAATGGACCCACCAATGGGAGATGCTGTGGACCTGACCGTCTACGAGAAGGAAGAAGGTGCCATGACTGCAGGCGAGCACTCTGCTCCACCTGAACCTGGCTCTCGAGCCGTCTTGAACAAGCACTGGAAGATGTTTGAGAATGCCATGACCTCTGAGGAAAATCGAGTCAATGCTTGCATCACCAAGGAACTCCATCAAAGCCAACCTCGACCACGAATCGTTTGGGAAGTCTATGCAGGTGCGTCTCGCACTTCACAACTGGCTGAAGCTCTTGGCTGTGATGTTCAGGTCTTTGGATATGACACCGGCTGGGACTTTGACATTGCCAGTCACAGAACTGCTTTTCTACAACTCATGGATGAAGTGCTTCCCGACGAAGTGTTCCTGGCTCCTCGATGTGGACTCTGGAGTCGTATGCAAGCGATCAATGCCACCACTGATGAGAAGAAGGAGTTGCTGACCCAACAACGACAGCTCCATCATGACTGCCATCTTCGGTTTTGCCGCAAGATCTACCTGAAGCAGCTGAATGAGGGCCGACATGCCCACCTTGAACAACCAGATGGCGCCTTGTCTTGGCACACCAAGGCTCTGGCGACCTTGCCTGGACTCTATGCCATCTTTGATCAATGCCGATACGGCGCATGCTGCCTTGACCATGATGGTGTTTGGCGCCCTGTTCGCAAAACCACTGGACTTTTGACAACCAAGTCTGCAATGTCACAAGCTATGAACCTTCGATGTGAAGGAGATCACTACCACTGCAAGCTGGAGGGAACCTTCCCTGGCACCGGGCGCTCAAGAACCAGCTACATGGAGGACTACCAGCCTGCGCTCTCAGCTGTCCTTGCGTCAGCCCTTGCAGTTCCTGAAGTTCCTCACTGCTGGGAAGATGTGAACGCTGTGGATGAAGTCAAAGCTGTCCAAGGCAAATTGATTCAACTGATGACAGAAAACCATGGTGAAGCTGTGCGGACTGTGCAGCGTCTTCACCGTAACCTTGGACATCCTTCACCGACTTCACTGGTTGAGATGCTTGAATCCAGAGGTGCTTCTGAAGCTGTTCTCGCTGTTGCCAGAACATTCCAGTGCCACTCTTGCCTCAGATATCGAAAACCCAATCAAGTGGCACCTGCATCCTCGAAGGTGATTTGCAAGTTCAACCAAAGTGTTCAAGCCGATGTTTTTTGGCTGAAAACCGGTGACAACAACATTCCAATTCTTTCCATGGTTGATGAGGGCACCAAGTTTCAAGCTGCCCAAGTTGTGAACAGCGAGAAAGCCGAGGACTACATCTTGGCCCTTGAGCGATGTTGGATCTCTCACTTTGGTCCCATGACCAGACTGGTCACAGATGAAGGTCGTGGATGGCTTGGCCGTGAATTCGAGGCCTGGACTGATGAGCATTCAGTTCATCATGTTGTTGCTGCTGGAGAGGCACATGAACAACTGTCCTTAGTTGAAAGAAGGCACTCAGTTTTGAGGAAAGCACTGGAGATCTACTTGGTAGACTTTGGAATGACTGGTGCCAATGCTGTGCGACAAGCCCTGAGCTACGTGGTGCCTCAGCTCAACAACTCACCATCCACTTCTGGCTTTTCACCTGCTCAATGGGTACTTGGCCAATCTCCTGATTTTCCTGGCGAGCTTCTTGGATCTTCTTTGACCCCAGTACACCTTGGAGGTACCTTCGAAGACGAGCTCTCCAGGCGAGCCACTGCAAAGATGGCCATTGTCCAAGCAGATGTGGACCAAAAGCTTCGACGCGCACTGCTGCGCAAATACGCTGGCAACAACATTGCACTCAACCCTGGACAGAAGTGTTTCTTCTGGCGAGACAGCCGCAATGCTGACTTGGTGAAAATCCGATGGAAAGGGCCTGCCACCATCCTCATGAGAGAAGAAGATGATGATGGTCGAGCGAAAGTTTACTGGCTGGCCTACAAATCTCAACTTCTTCGAGCTGCTCCTCACCATGTTCGACCTGAGATTGGCAAGTCTTCTGAGCCTCTGGCTGACAACTTCCAGACTGCCAAGGACGTGGTGCAGCAACTCAGATCTCGAGGTGTCACTCGCTACTTGGATCTCAACGTCCTCAACAAGAGACGCTTGGAAGATGTGGGCACTGATGAAGAGGTTCTTGATGACGGCAATTCAGATCTTGAACAACCTGCTCACCGCCGTCGTTTGCTTGACTCCACCCTGATCGAAAGACCTCCAATTGCTGACGAGGAGTACTCACCCTCCATCCTCCAAGAAGATGAGGACCTTGACGCCCCTGATCTTGGACTTTTCAGATCAACAAGGTCTGCCTCCTGGATTTGAGGCTTCATCTGCTCCACTTGGACTTTCGGAGCCGGCACAACCTGGATTTGTTGATGCCGATGGAACTGCTCTCCAAGTTCCAATCCCTGAGCTGTCAGCAGACATTCCGATCAGCAGTGGGGAACCTTCTCAAGAACCAAGTCCCACACACATGGACACTGAGATTTCCAACCAACGCCCTATGACACCGAGCAATTTGCCCAGACCAGCGATTGAACAAGATCTACTACACCAACCACCTTCTCTACTGACAACTTCTTCAATCCAGCAGAGTCAGATTCCAACTCCACAACCTACAACATCACAATCAACTCTACCAGAAACACATCAACCTTCCTTGCCACCACCTGCACAAGTTCCACAACTTGATCCAATCACTGCATCACTCTATCAACCTGCAACAGATGAAGACTTCAGAAGTCATCGACGTCGCCTTGCGCAACAAGAAACAATGTCTTTTGGACCATTTCGTCGACGACGTGAACAGCAACAACCAACAGGTGAGCATGGTTCCACACCATATGCTGAACCACCATCCAATGAGTCTGCCAACAACTTGGAAGACAGCCCTTTTGCCTTTGAGATTGAAGACATGGAGATCAATGCCTTACCACCTGGATGGAAGCTCGAGAATGGCTACATCACTTTGGATGACAAGACCCGTGACCACTGGGAACTTCGAGCTGGATGTCTCATTCGACATCATGCCATTCCACGACGAGCTCTTTTTGATCCTCGATCTCTTTCTGCCCGCGACTTGCAACACTTGCCGGTGCCTTTGGATTGCCTAGATCCTGTGAGAGTCACCGTATGCAAGTCGGACGATGGCATCAACCACTACTCCGACAAGATTTCAGATGGGCATGGCGAGCTGTCCAACAAGCCTTGGACTGGATGCACAGTCTTCCAACTCAACGGCAAGACTCGACATGAACTTGGATGCCACGCTTACTCAGCCATGACTGCCAAGCAAGTTGGCAAGAAGGCCAAAGTTCATGCTCAACGACAAGTTCGCAAAGCTCAGCCGAAGAATGAGATCAGCGAGAAAAAGCTGACTTTGGAAGACCGTTTGCTGTTCCACCAGGCCAAAGTCAAAGAACTCAAGTCGTTTTTCGACAATGGAGTGTGGTCTTTTCAAACCACCAAAGAAGCGATTCCAAGCCGCACTATGTCCAGCAGAATGCTCCTTAAATGGTCAAAGAATGCAGATGGTACACCTCGTGCCAAAGCCCGATTGGTTGTCAGAGGTTACACTGATGCCGATGCTCTTGAGGGCAAGCTGGACACTGCATCACCTGCGAGCACTCGCCTTGGAAGATCTGTGCTCCTCAGCATCTCTGCATGCTGTGGCTGGTGCGGTTGGAGCGCTGATGTTTCAACAGCCTTTCTTCAAGGCCTACCACAAGAACGCCAACTTTGGGTTCGTTTACCAGCTGATGCCAACCGGATACTTGGGGGTGACGAAAACACCCGGATGTACCTACACAAACCGGTCTATGGCCAACTTGATGCACCCAAGCGCTGGTTTCTTGAAGCCACCAGGCGACTTCGCAATGGTGGATGGATTGCACATCCCATGGACCCTTGCTTTTGGCGACTTTATGAACCAGCAGCTGAAGGCTCTGAACCCGTTTTATGTGGCCTCCTGGTGCTCCATGTTGATGATATGCTGGGATGTGGAAACCCCAACTCTGAGACTTACCAGAAGGCCGAAGCAGAGCTCAAGCAGTCTTTCAACTTCAGAACTTGGCAGAAGGATGAGCCCTTCGAATACTGCGGTGCCCATATGACACGTGATGATGATGGCACCTGGCATGTGAGCCATGACCAATACCTGAAAAAGATCATGCCTTTGAACTTTGAGAAGGGACGTCAAAGCCACCAACCTTTCAGCGAGAAAGAGCAAACAGCTCTTCGCGGTCTTCTTGGAAGTTTGCAGTGGCCTGCGGTACAATCGTCACCACATATACAGGCAAGCACCTCCTTGCTGAGTGGTGAGATGAGCACTGGACTTTCTTCAGCCTTGATCGAGGCCAACAAGCTTCTTCGTTTTTGCAAGGCCAACAGTGATGTCCACCTGAAGTTTCCTCCGTTGGGCCCACTTCCTGAACTTCGTTTGACATGCATGTTTGATGCTGCCCTGGGAGTTCGACACGACGGATCGAGTCAGGGTGGGTACATCATAATGTTGACCCACAAATCAGCTTTTGAAGGCGCTGAAGTGCCTTACCACGTGCTGGACTGGCGATCTTTTAGACTGCCACGGGTGTGCCGCTCGAGCCTCTCTGCAGAAGTTCAATCAGCTGCACAGGCCATCGACAGCACAGAATTTGTGATTCGTTTTTGGCACATGGTCTTGAATCCAAATGCAACTCTTCGACAGACCTTGGATGTATCGAAACCAACCTTAAGCCCCACCTTCATCACTGATGCCAAAGCCCTGTATGATAGCTACCACAGAGACGCTATAAACCATGGGGCTACAGACAAAAGAACAAATTTGGAACTTCGTGTCATCCGAGAACAAGTCGAAGGAGTTGGTGGAGTTTTGAAATGGATTTCTTCAGAACGCCAGTTTGGCGATGGATTCACAAAAATGGCTGCACGGCAACTATTGGCCGACCGTTTGCGACATGGTTCCATCAAGTTCACTTGGGACCCTGAGTACCAAGCTAGCAAGAAAAAGACAGCTGCAGAACGTGAGAAAAGCAGGAATGAATTCACCACAACAACCACAAAAACCACACACAACCACCACAAACCACATACAACCGAGCAGGAAGATGCACATGATGATGAGGCTCCAGCTACCAATGCTGATGAGAACATGACTGTGGAGCCCTATGTGACTGATCCCAACCTAACGTTTGAGAATGCCCAGCTCTCTGTAGATGCCGATGTGACACTGCATGTCCAGACCCCGGAAGATGTGCGCTTCATGGAAGCGATCTATGACATTGAAACCAATGCAGCCCATGGCGAGCCCTTTGTTCTACCGAATAACCGGGTCCCTGTAGAGGCCTACTCCTTGAGCCATGGCGGCGCTGGTGCTATGCTGAAGTATGTCTTCATGGCCACTGCGTTTTGCACTGCTGAATCCGTTGAACTGGAGGTCCAAGACCAATGCAGTGCCGATGATGCGCCACTGACTGCGACAGCACAATCAATTTGGGTTTCAATGCTGATAGTTTTTCTGGCCCTTCTTCTGGGTCTTTTGTTTCACTACGTGGTCTCCAAACAGTTGAAGGAGGAAGTGAGATCTCTTAGAGATGCCAACGCCCAACTGCTTCGAGGCCAAACCAATATGGAGCTCACCAACCGCCAGTTGAACACAGAAAACCGGCGATTGAGAAGCACCTTGATTGACCGTGAGTTGGTCATTGACAACAACCAAGAGTTGCGAGAACAAGAACGACAAGATGATCGAAATACCATACGACGTGCCAGCGGTATCCTTGACCGCGCCTTGACTGAGACTTGGAACTTGAACCAGTTCCAGCTGTGTTTTGCCACGACTGGCAGATGCTGGCATGCAGACGCCAACTGTGCCGGTCTGGTGAATGCAAATCGCGTTGAGGTGCGAGACGCTTGCACCTTTTGTTTGAGTCACTGCCTTCCACCATGGATTCCTGACCAGACTTTTGGCGCTACTTTGAAAGAAGAGATTGAGAGATTCTGGCAAGATCATGGAAGAGTAAACTATGTGGATTCGATCATTCACTGAGAGCCGGGCATAGCTTTCCCCTGTGTCAATTGCACTCCATGCATTGCACTTGGGATCATGTTTTTCCTGTTTCCTGTCAGGTCCGACGACCTCATTTTATCCAGGTCTGATGACCTCATTTCATTTTGGTCTTCTGACCGTATTTTGCCTCTCAAGAAAGGGAGGGACTTCTAACGCCCCATAGGCTACGCACCTTGGAAAAGTGCCTCGTTTGCACTGCCTTGCTTCGCTGTGAACTTCGAGTGTCTCAGCTCAACTGGCTGCCCAGTTTATAGGCGCCATTTACTTCTGAAGATACAATCCAAACAGGCGTTGGACAAAATCTCCACTGGCAAACTTATGCGCAGCACCCATCGTGGGTCTTTTGTGGCTGTCCAAAATTTGTATCTACAAAAAAATGGTTTGGATAGAATCACTTCTAATCAACACAACAGAAACATCCTAAACTCAAAATCGGTCTGTTGATGTTGTCTGGCAAATTCAATTTGTTTGACACCAATTCCAAGGGTGCAACCCAACGTCACCACTTGCGGTGCGGGCAAGTGTCGCCGCAAAGCAACCAAAATACATATCCAAAGTAAAATCTGAATGCAAACACATGTAGTTTCTACACCTGCCCCTTTTGATGCATGTTGTGAAACAATTATAAGGCTGGGCATGCAAAGCTGCTAAATTGGGCCTTCAAAGTGGTATGCCAAGAAAGAGCTTCAAATTCATCGTAGCCTTGTCCAAGGTCCAACCTTGGAGGTGTTGACGTCCAACATGACAGTGGCAAAGCAACACAATGATCAGAAAATACATGATGTCGAAACTGTCGTACAAGTTCACCATGTTTACCATTGTGTCGAACAAATGCATTCCAAGACACTCATTGTGCATGTTGTATGCAAATTTAAAAGTTTCAAGGCTGTGCCATCCGTGTACACGTAGGACATCGTAAAAACGCTGGTATGGCGCACTGTGCCGGCAGTGGAGAAAGGATTCAAAACCTGCAAGTTTTTTCAGTTTGAAAAGTGACAGATCACAAAATTCATTTTCAAATTTGGATTTGCAAAATCACTGTGATTGATGCAACTAACAAAACCAAACATCATGAAACACCGATTGCATAATTACAAGCCTCCAAGCTGATTTCGGAACGTCTCCACTGTAAAGGTTGCCACTGCAGGAGCTGTTGTGAAAAACAGCGCTGATCTACGCATGTCTCGCCATCACAACATTGCCGAAGTCCAACCCGGATCCAACGGCGCACATATCACAGGCGCTGCAAATTGACCCAAATGTTGTGCCGGAATGGTTGATTGATGACCAAATGTAATAATGATAATAGTGTCAAATCAATGGGGCTGACTGTCATCAAATTTTCAACCCAGCCCAACTCAAATGAAATTTCACTGCAATCCAATTTGATGCTGTTGGAACCAACATGGCATGCAGGCGTGCATCGAAAAATCCAAATCGGTCAAATTGTTTCTTTTCAAGTTTTGGGATGTTGATTTTTTGTGTGGAACAATGAAAGGTCAATGTAAAAAAAAATCCTGCGCGAATAAACAACCATCACAAAAAAAAAAACCTGGTCAAATCTCTCATGTTGGCCACAACTGACATGATAGCTGAGACTTCTGCAGAACACTTTTTTCTCCAAAAGGGGGCCAATGCGGCTCGACAAGGCATTGGGTCTGGCCTCGTCAGGTACTTGCAAACAGGGTTGGGTGGGTGGGCGCTTTTCAAGTGATTAAAACACAGCGGCCCACCCACCCACCTCTTGAGAGAAACTTCGGAGAGACGAAATTGGACGTTGTGTCCCGAAATGCAACATTCCCCCAAAATATTTTCCATGTCAATCAAGGATCCCTGCAGAGAGTGACCGAGGCGCCCACGTTTCGACGGGATGGCACAGTCCAACCATGGAAGACAAGTGATTCCTGCACTGGAAATATAGTAAGGTTTGTGGTTTCAACTTTCACCCCACAAAAAGACTTGTCATGAGATAGTGTAACATATTAGACAACCAACTGTTTGTTACACTTGTTCCATTTCAGATGCACACCTACCCACAAAACAGTGTTGTTCTGAGTCGTCCTGCCACCCACAACCACATCAATCCCACACAGTCCTGCGCGGTAAACTACTCACTTGCGCCCCCAACATTTTCTCACTTGTGCCCCTTACTCACTTGCGACCCCCTCTCACTTACGCCCCAAAATACTCACTGACGCCCCCCTCTCGACTCACTTGCGCCCCCTGGCCTTCCACAATGCCATCATCTAAAATCTACCTCTTTATTAAAATTTTCCTCTTTATTTAAATTCCCCCCCCTGCCTTCCACAATGCCATGATCTAAAAATCTACCTCTTTATTTAAACTTCCCCCCCCCTTGCCTTCCACACTGCCATGATCTAAAATTTACCTCTTTATTTAAACTTTACCCCCCCTTGCCTTCCACAATGCCATCATCTAAAATCTAACTTTTTATTTAAACTTCCCCCCCTTGCCTTCCACACCGCCAGGATCTAAAATTTAACTCTTTATTTAAACTTTACCCCCCCTTGCCTTCCACAATGCCATCATCTAAAATCTACCTCTTTATTTCAATTTTCTTCTTTATTTAAATTTCCCCCCCTTGCCTTCCACAATGCCATGATCTAAAATCTACCTCTTTATTTAAACTTCCCCCCCCTTGCCTTCCACAATGCCATCATCTAAAATCTAACTTTTTATTTAAACTTCCCCCCCCTTGCCTTCCACAATGCCATCATCTAAAATTTACCTCTTTATTTCAAGTTTCCTCTATTTAAACTTCCCACCCTTGCCTTCCACAATGCCATGATGTAGTCGTAGTAGTAGTAGTAGTAGTCGTCGTCGTCGTCGTAGTAGTAGTAGTACTACTACTACTAGTAGTAGTAGTAGTCGTCGTCGTCGTAGTAGTAGTCGTAGTAGTACTAGTAGTACTAGTAGTACTAGTAGTACTAGTAGTACTAGTAGTACTAGTAGTACTAGTAGTACTAGTAGTACTAGTAGTACTAGTAGTACTTGGAGTACTTGGAGTAGTAGTACTAGTGTCCTAGTAGTACTAGTGTCCTAGTAGTACTAGTAGTACTAGTAGTACTAGTAGTACTAGTAGTACTAGTAGTACTAGTAGTACTAGTAGTACTAGTAGTACTAGTAGTACTAGTAGTACTAGTAGTACTAGTAGTACTAGTAGTTCTAGTAGTACTAGTAGTTCTAGTAGTACTAGTAGTACTAGTAGTACTAGTAGTACTAGTAGTACTAGTAGTACTAGTAGTACTAGTAGTACTAGTAGTACTAGTAGTACTAGTAGTACTGGTAGTACTGGTAGTACTAGTAGTACTAGCAGTACTAGTAGTACTAGTAGTACTAGTAGTACTAGTAGTACTAGTAGTACTAGTAGTACTAGTAGTACTAGTAGTAGTTGTTGTAGTAGTAGTAGTACTGTCGTCGTCTTCGTCGTAGTAGTAGTAGTAGTAGCATTAGTAGTAGTAGTAGTAGTACTAGTAGTAGTGGTAGTGGTAGTGGTAGTGGTAGTGGTAGTGGTAGTGGTAGTAGTAGTAGTAGTAGTAGTGGTAGTACTAGTAGTCGTAGAAGTCGTAGAAGTCGTAGAAGTCGTAGAAGTCGTAGAAGTCGTAGAAGTCGTAGAAGTGGTAGAAGTCGTAGAAGTCGTAGAAGTCGTAGAAGTCGTAGAAGTCGTAGAAGTCGTAGAAGTCGTAGTAGTAGTAGTAGCAGTAGTAGTAGTAGTACTAGTATTAGTTGTTGTTGTAGTACTAGTAGTACTGTCGTCGTCTTCGTTGTCCTCGTCGTAGTAGTAGTAGTAGTAGGAGTAGTAGGAGTAGTAGGAGTAGTAGTGGTAGTGGTAGTGGTAGTGGTAGTGGTAGTGGTAGTGGTAGTAGTAGTAGTAGGAGTGGTAGTGGTAGTGGTAGTGGTAGTGGTAGTGGTAGTGGTAGTGGTAGTGTTAGTGGTAGTGGTAGTGGTAGTAGTAGTAGTAGTATTATTAGTAGTAGTAGTGGTAGTAGTGGTAGTACTAGTAGTAGTAGTGGTAGTAGTAGTAGTAGTGGTAGTACTAGTAGTAGTAGTAGTAGTGGTAGTACTAGTAGTAGTAGTGGTAGTACTAGTAGTCGTAGAAGTCGTAGAAGTCGTAGAAGTCGTAGAAGTCGTAGAAGTCGTAGAAGTCGGTAGAAGTCGGTAGAAGTCGTAGAAGTCGGTAGAAGTCGTAGAAGTCGTAGAAGCAGTAGAAGTAGTAGAAGTAGTAGAAGTAGTAGAAGTAGTAGAAGTAGTAGAAGTAGTAGAAGTAGTAGAAGTAGTAGAAGTAGTAGAAGTAGTAGAAGTAGTAGGAGTAGTAGAAGTAGTAGAAGTAGTAGAAGTAGTAGAAGTAGTAGAAGTCGTAATTACCTTTACCTTCTACGAGGGGCACAAGCGAGAAAAAAACGGGGGCACAAGCGAGAAAATTTTGGGGGCACAAGCGATGCAGCGACCGTCCTGCGCCAGTCTCCTTGGAAAAATCATAGCAGGACTTGGATCGGACTGAGATTGGATGGCAGGCCTTCACCTGACTCGGGCCACCATGGAAAAACTTCGCCAAGTTCAGCTGGATTTGAAGCTGAAGAACTTTGTTCAGCCGCTTTCCCCCCCGATCTTGCAACAAACTGCAAGTTCATCTTCTGAACCCTTCATCTGCTGCACATTGCCATGTTTTCTTGGCCAGGAAACCTTGGAACCAGAGATCATCTCCTTAGTTTTCCAGTGCTAACACGAACTTGGCGTCTTCATCCACTGGGATATGGTCCCCGAGAATGTTCGTCCCTGAGATGAGTTCATCGTTCATGCTGCTCAGCTCATCGCAAATCTTATCCACAAAAACAGAGGACGCATACGACACGGACGGGTCGCCAATGCACACCTGTGGAAGCGCAGTTCGAACGACAGGTCCATCTCGCAGAACGTCTCGAACAAACCCCCAGGTTGAGGCAGCTTGGTTTAACAAAAAACACAGAAGCACAATGGACAGCAGAAAGCCTGCAAGTGGTGAATCGGCTTCATCCAATCGCAGCAAGAGTTGGGTGCTCGATACGGTCAAGGGAAAGGCCACGAATTCCAGGGCTCTGAGTTCCCAAGCTCCAGGACTCAGACCATGCCGCGGCCCTTGGTGTAGAGATCGTGCGCGACGAGAGAGCCACGCAGCCGTGAGGAGAAAGCACGGAATCTGGGCTGGGTGTGGGTATTGCCAGCAACATTGGCGTGGCCAACTCTTGTGGGGGTAGAGGCACATTGTTGAAACTTCCCACCATGGCCACCACTTGTACTGCAAACACGGCTGCAGAAGCTGAAGCACCGGAACTGCTAAGCTGCTGACCAAGGTGCAAATCGGGATCAACACCAGCAGAGGAAAGGTGACAAAGCTAGCTGCAGCCGGTACCACACCCGCCGCCATCATTCGCTTCGACTCTCAACACTTACCTCTGGATTGGCATCACCTCTGAAGCTGTATGAAGATCAGCTGCAGCGATGGCACAGCAGCACAGTGCCAGCAGCCATGGGAACATGTTGCCATGGAAAAACCGATCATGTGTTTGGAAATGGTGGTGTCGGAAAACTCAGCAAGTGGAATAATTTGATAGGAAGGGAAATTCATGTTGGTCAGCAAGTGAAGCTGTGGTTCCAGCCTCCTCTGCAATTCCGTTTGCAGTCTCTCTTTCTTCTATGTCAATCCGTATTTGTAAATTGAAAAAACTGGAGTCAAACCCCTTGGGAGCAGTTTCAGCAATGTTTGATTTGGGAATATGTATGTATATATATATATATGGGAATATATAACACCTGACCTCTGGGGTCATTGAAAAATATTAGCTCTGTAGTTCATAAGTGGCATCAATTTCGCCCTGATGAGCCAAGTATCCAGACTGCAAAGAAAGTCTGCTGGCTGTCAGCAATCTGGAGCAAACAGCTGCTCTCAGCAGCGCTGTGTGGAGCCAGATTTTTCGACAGATCAAGCTATCAGGCGGCGTCATATCTCTATACGGTCTATATGGTACAGGTATCAGATATTCTGTCACCTTGGACGACGCCTCTCATAAGCTTCCTGGACCGCTAAAACCAAACAAAAAATCAAACAAACCTTGCACGTGTGTCTTTTATAGCTTATATATATATGTTTGTTTATTTATTCATTTATTCATATTTAAATTTATTTATTTGTATTTATATTTATATTCATATTTATATATTTATTTATATATTTATTTGTTTGTGCTCGTCCCTTTGTAAATTAAATTTCTTATTCAAACAAACGTAAAACTCAAAACGCCACGCAAATCGCTCGAAGGTCGGACATGTATTTAATATTTCTTTTTGTCTTTGCTTATCTTAATTGAGTCGGGGGTGAAACCGCACAAACACAAGTCAAGTGTCTGGTAACTGTTTCAGGTCAACAAGTCATGTCGCCTGTCACCCCCCCACAAGATAAGGGAGGGAAAACGAAGTTTGGGAGGGGATAGAAAAATCGAACGGGTCAAGTGCAACCCACCCTCCACACCCTAGCCAAAATTGCGCGGAACATAAAATCAAAATGTTCGCAACAGAGCAAAAGGTGAGAAGACTGACATCAATCTGATCTAAATAAAAAGTGAGAAGTAAAGATCATCCTTCAAACAACAGTGACAGATGTAAATGTCACAACATGATAATAAACAGAAGTTGTTTGGAAACTTCAGTTGGTTTCCAGCATTCAGCCAGGAGCATCTGCCGCCGCACAAGTGCGGAATGGAAAAGGCGTCCAACTACGGAAGTTTCAGCAGATTTCACCGCACTTCCACACATCTTAAAATAGCTTGAACAATTTGAACATGTTTAACATCTTCAACTCTTCACAGGAGGATCAGCTATATTTGCTTGACTCTGAAAGCTGAGCTGAAAACACCGCCAGGCTCACCAACACCGTCAGTTGGTTTTCAGTTCATCAGATTTTTCTTTTTTTTGTTACAGGCGGTACGTTCGCAAGCTCACTACTCCCAACAAACAAAGGCCACAACAAGTTGAAGCCAAACGTTTGTGCTCGTCCCTTTGTAAATTAAATTTCTTATTCAAACAAACGTAAAACTCAAAACGCCACGCAAATCGCTCGAAGGTCGGACATGTATTTAATATTTCTTTTTGTCTTTGCTTATCTTAATTGAGTCGGGGGTGAAACCGCACAAACACAAGTCAAGTGTCTGGTAACTGTTTCAGGTCAACAAGTCATGTCGCCTGTCACCCCCGTTTTTTTTTCGACATGTAAAGAGCTTCACTTTCTTGTAACTTCCAAGAGCATTGTTTCAGGCAAGCATATATCGCCTGCAAGGTTTCCTCCCGAGATTGCCTCGTTGTCAACGAAGTACAGTGCTGAAGAATTGGAAAGTTCATTGCGGTAAAAATACCTCACAAGCAAAACTGCAACCAACTCAATTTGACAAATTTTCTGCTGAAGTCCAATAGATGTCCAGTGCTCCATCAGGACTGGTGGGATGGTTCCCCAGTGAATTGCATTAATGCCAAGTTGAGGGATTATGACAACTGCACCCCAGGTTCCATTCCCATTCTCGTACGCACCGTCCTTGTAAATCACTGCCGGACGATCGCTGCTCAGGAAGCGAATTTCTCGTGGTCGCATTCGGTTAATGATCCTGCATGTATCATTGCACAAGCGCGATATGAGCTCTGTATCTGATGAACCTGACTGCAAACTTGCAAACTGTCTGGCGGCAGGCTTCAAACAACGTCCAACCACAAAGCCACCAGCATAATTCAGCAATCCATGCATAGTCGCCGCCTCGGGTGCAGACACAGTACCCTTGGCAGCGTATGATTCAAGCATCTCCAAAATCCTCTGTATCCGACTTGGGCGGTTCGCCACTGTCACTTGTTTGTTCCAAAAGTTCTGCAAGTGGAATGCTACTCCCAACACCTGCATGGTGTCAGAAAAATCAACACTCTTTTTACCAGTCGTAGCATGCTTCCACCCAAGCAAATCCAAAAGGTGCTGCACCACGTTCGTAGTTGTTGCCGCCAAAGGTTCAAACTCAATAACAGGAAAATCATCATAAAATACAGTGGTAAGGAGGTGAAATTTTCGAACCATCAAAGTCCAGATACCGCGCGTGATCTTGTTGAATGCAAAAACGCTGGACGTGGCTCCAAAAGGCAGTGACTTCGATATAAAGAACTTCCATTCGCCAGATTCACTTCGCACTCCCAAAACGCTATGTCTAGCAGACTGAGGAGCAACACTGACCTGCTTGTACGCCTTGCTCAAGTCGATGCCCCTGCCCAGCAGCAAAGGCTTTCGGGCGTAGTCAGGGTGCCTTCGACCAGTGAGGTGGTCACCTGAAGAAAGTTCGATGTCGATATGTGGATCTCCGCAGAAAACACCCAAAGCAAACGCAAGAAAGCAACTGATTACGTCGGTGTCGTGCAGGTCAAGGTGCGACGATGTTCCAAAGGCCGCATTCACTCCCGACGTTTTGTAGTTGTCAATCACTCTAGGTTTAAGGTCTTCACCTTGCAAAAGAAGGAACCGTTGGGACATTGACCAGTCCGCACGCCCAAGCCTTTCTGTTATATCAGACTCCAAAAAGGGACCATCCAGAAAACCAGCAGATACCTCTTTCATAGTTTCTTCCATAAGCAGTTTTGCAAGCCCACGTTCTTCGTCAGTAAAGGCTTTGCCCATAAGGGCTTTTCGTCGCCACAAAGCACTGTGGTCCAACTGTTCGGTTGTCATTGTAGGTGGAGCCCATCGTTGTTTGTACAAAGCGCTTTCGTCTTCCCAGCCAGTCAGGGGAACTCCTTCGCGCATATAGCGCACAACCTCCATGTCTTCGAACCCAACCTGGGTCAGCAGTTTTTCCCAAAGTTCAATGCGTTTTGCCTTGGTCACCTCCGCCACGTTCTTGTCCATTTTGACTTTCGCCAGTTTCTCCGCAAGAGCCAGTCGCTTTGCAATTTCAACACATTCTCCCAGCTTGCTGATGCGGAACAGGGCAACATCTGCCATCGAGTGTGTTGCCACAAAGAAAATAGCTTTCTTCAAATCATCTGGTACACCCTTGTGCGTAAATGCAGGGTGCTGCAATTCTAAAGAACGCTTGAGGTGATCATGATGGTTGAAATAAATGCCAACCTTGTAGCTTTCAGCTGACCTCTCGCTGTCGTCTCCCCCGTGTCCCAAGCGAGCCAAAATTTTGTGTGGCAGTTGAGGGAGTACCGTAGTGACAATAATTTGGGAAAATTCAGGGATCAATTGGTCATGACCTTTGGCTTGAATGGATTGGGCCATTAAAGATTGCAGTCGAAAAAAATTTGAGTTATACTCCAGTGCATTAGCAGCGACCATTGTACTTGCACATTCAGCATATCGATCACAGAACATTGAAGGATATTGAGCTTCCGCTGCAGTAGAAAAAATCCACTTATCAAATCCACTGACAATTGTCCATGGCTCATGGTTGTGGGACTTGTCGCACATAATCCCCAGTGGCTCAAACTGTCGGGTCGACACCAGCAACTTGGTTGACTTGGCACGGTTTCCTCCGTGCATGCAAAAATCAAATTCCACGGGGTGAAAACAAAAATACCACTCAGCAAATTCAGGGCACTTGTGTTCGCGTGCATATTGCTTGACCAGTGTTGCAAGTACTGTCCATAACCACGATCGTAAAGGATTTTCCAGTGTAATGAATGCTCCAACACGAAAAAGTGCATGCAACAAGCGCACAGCATGTCTATAAACAGTATTTGCAGCGTCAACTCTCTGCTGGTTCAGAGTGCTCAAATTTGGCAGGCCAAGTGGATGCAACGCGTCACGGAGTGGCGCAGGTTGAGGTGCTCCTTGAGAGCGTAATGCATGTGCAACCGGCACTTCTCGTGCTCGGCTGCAAGTTCCACACATAAGCCCAAAATGGGCTCCTACCGGCTTCATCTGTTCGATCATGCCTTCAAGGAGTGAAATATTCTCATGCAATGACAAATCCAACTCAAAAATGTGCATCTTGTTTTTGAAACGATTTGCATGATAGTCAATCGGAAAAACTTGCCAGCCCATGCGTTGCATTGATGCAGAGAGCGCAGCTGAGCCCGCACAGATTTCCAAAAAGACTATTGGTTTGTCTGCATGAGGGTGAGAAATTGTATTGTCTTGTTTCGGCTCACCAAGTCAGTGCTTACACTCAATGTAAGGTCGCTTCTCTGTGCAACCCTTGTAGTAACATTGGTGAAGCCCCAAATGACAACGTGCTTTCTTCTGATGTTTGCAAATCCCTCTGTTGTAGAAAACACACAGCCATTGACCGTTCGGCAGCTTGCTGGCGCAGCCGTCTGGCATGTTGGTGAGCATCTCTTTGATAGTGGGCCCAGAGCTGGGACCTGACGCAGCACCTTTCGACTGAAATTTGTTCTTCCCTTTGCCTTTGCCGGATCCACTGCTCTGTTCCGCTCGACTGTATGGCTCGGAACGATGTCCTGAAGGCGCTTCAGCGCGCACTGATGGCAATGGAGTCATGAAGCAAAGAACTTCAGGAGACCTCATGTA